TATAACAAAAACAAAAAAAAAACCTAAACCTACTAAACTGCATTGTTTAGAAATTGTGTGGTAAACTAAAGGAAAAAGTGGAACAATTACTACTATAAAATTCAGAATAATGGTTATCTCTAGGGGGAAGGAAAAAATTATGTTCACACAAGCACCTCTAAGGTGGAGGGAGAAATTATGTTCACGCAGGTGGGACATATGTGGACTTTCTGTACTATCGTTAGTGTTTTATTTCTTGAGAGTCGTTATATGGCTATTCATATTATTTATTAAATCGTGTTCTTAGCTTTTATGCTCTTTTTCTTTATAATGTAATTCACAGTTAAAATGGTAAAGGAAAAAATTTTAAAGAAAATAAAACTCTAAATTTTTTGATATTTTTAAAGCGAATTGTACAAATACGTTACCCAGTTCCCCATTGCCTGCTGCTGGTCCTCTTTTCCCTGGGGTGGGTGTCGGGCACAGAGTATGGCTCAGAGAGGGAGTTAATGTGATAAGAGACAAGGGTGGGTTGAAGTTCAAAGATGAAGTAAGGAATTAAGATAAGGGATTATTTAGATAAATCTTATATGTGTCAAATCTTATATAATGTTGTCAGGGATGGTTAAGGAAGAGAATGAAGCATGAAGTCAGGCTAGAATTAGGATTTGGGTTTCTGTGAGGCAGATTATACCTTGGCTGATAAAAACCCAGACAGTTGCTATTCAGGGAACAGCATAAGCAAAGACACAGAAGCATGGAACAGCAGGTGAGTGCAGGCAGCCAGCAGAGTACTGCAGCTGGAGGCAGAACACATGGGGCACTTAGGCCACAGAAGAGTGGCAGACAGAATATCCAGGGTTTTGGGTGCCCTGTTAACAGTCTAAGAGTCAAGAGTCTATGCTGTTGTCAATGGAGAAACATAGAAAGGTTTTAAGGAAATTGACATGGTGATGAATAAATATGGAAATCGAAGAGAAAAAAAAAACAGTGTTAGGTATGCATGGACCAAATCATGTTCAAATGTGCATATTTTCACTTAAGAAGATTAGAAATTAAGTAACAGTGATGCTTAAACTATTTAATTACCATTAATTTATTTTATACCCTCTAAAGTTGATTGCCAAATAAAACAATTAATTGATTGGCTGTCATCCTGTTTTAGTCCTCCTCTTGTGAATTTGATTATTAGTCACGATAACATGCCATTAAAAAATAAGACATCTTGACTCATTAATAGTCCCACGAGAAATCGAAACTGCTCATTTTATATTTCTCTTCAATACATTTTAATTGTAACAGAAGATAAAAATTTTGAAAGAGGTAAATTTGTAACAAATAAAGGATTGTGTTGGATTTCTTAAAGGATTTCCTTTAGGAAATTCATTAGTCTCTAAGTGGCAAAGGACTCAGTAAGACACTGGACAGATTTTGAAAGATGACTTCAAGAGAGATGCTCAAGGAACATCTGTAGGGCATTTTAAAGGTCAGCCTCTACACGAATACTAAGGTCCATAGAAAATTCCAAGAATGCTTAGTAAGGGATTCTAAAGAAAGATTTATAATTGTAGAGCTTGAGCACAAATTCAAAATTACTATAATGGGTAAACTAAATTTAATGGATAATTAAACTGTATTTAGTTAGTTCTGGACCACTTAAATTACTTACAGCCTTTAAAAAGGAAATGTAGCATATTACTTTTATGTACGATAATAATGTTTCCACCTACTAGTGAAGGCTCATTTGCATTCCGTAGCAACTCATTTGGGTCTGCATTTTCTGGATCGTATATCCATATAGTGAGAACCTACAAAATAAAATGTGTTTGCATTTCTTCACATTTTGAACAAATCTGATTTTTACTTGTTGCAAACATAACCATAAAAATGCTTTTATTTATCTTTAAAATTTTGATTATCCCATTTTAAGAACTCAAAGCAATATGCGTTGTTTTTAGCAAGTGAAACAATCCAAAGATATATGAAGGAAGAGTTAATAACATCCCTGTACACTCCTGAGGTAACTAATGTTAAAACTTTATAGAAACGCTTATATATCTTTCTTTACGCTCACAGATAGACGTAGCACACACTCCACAAAAACACTCATAACATTTTATAAAAATGTAATTGCACACTACATGTTAATTGTAACTTGCTTTTGTCATTTGATACACCATGGCCATTTCAACAGATGTAGATCTAATTCTTATCTTTCTTGTTTATTTATTTATTTTTTGAATAGACAATTTATTCACATCGTTAAAACCAATTATATTAAAAATACCGAAAATCATCTCTCTCATTCTGTACTCTGTCACTCAGTTTCCACAAGTCCGTCTACTGCACCCCATAATAAAGATGTTATTCTTTTTCTCCCTTTTATATAAATGAGAGCATACTATATGCATTTTTTCAAACATTATATTACCCACTTCAAGTTATATCTTAGTGATTTTATGTAGTCATTAATTTTTCCACTGCATTTTATTCCAATTTATTCAGTAACCTACTGATAAACATGTTTCCAATCCTTTAACATTATAATCAATGCTCTAATGAGCATCTTTGTACGTATATCATTTTGCACCTTGGCGTATTCCTAAAAGTGGAATTGTTGAGTTATAGAGTATGTGCATTGGTAACTTTTATAACTACTGCTAAATTGTTTGCCACAGCAGTTGCTAATGCACCCTCCTCCAGTAATGCGTGAGATTTCTTCTTTCCTCGCAGCTTTCCCAACGTAGTGCGTTGTCATACATGTGGATATTCCCAGTCTGATGGGTGAACAATGATACTTTGATGCAATTTTAATATGCATTTCTTTTATTATGAGAAAATTTGAACATCTTTGCATATGTTCAAGTGCTACTTGTATTTCCTCTATGGTGAACTATTTGTTCATTTTCTTTTCTCGTTTTCTTTCCATTTTTCTATTAGGTTATTAGTCTTTTATTTAATAATTTGTGAAAGGTTTTTATCTTAAGAATTTCTACGCATACAAGTTCTATATCTTGATCTGTGTGGTGGTTACATGAATATATATATATATATACATATATATATAAATTTTATTCCTTTTATAATTATATGGCATTCCTCTTTATCCTATTAGATCAGTTTGCCTTAGATTCTATATTGTCCCTATATATTCCTTTCCTTCCTTCCTTCCTTCTTTATTGCAGATTTTTATTTCTCCTTTATATTCCCTTCACCTATATTAATCCTCTCTCATACCATATAACTTGAGTTAATAACCAGTATGTACCCTTCACTATCTTTATCTACACTAGATATGCATTTGCAGACATATACACAAATACATACGTACATGTTTTTTAAAAGAGGCATTTTAGGAGTTTTTTTAAACCAAAATTGGATCACATTTTTTCACTCAAGTATACATCGTTGAAATTCTCCAGCGTCAACTCTTGTAATGCCTGAATAACATTCTGTGACGTGGTTATACTCTAATTTACAGATCTGTTTCTCTAATGATGGAGATTTACTATGACCCCGGTTTTGTTTTGTTTTATTACCACTATTTACAATGCTGCAAAATACAGATCCTTTTTCATATAGCCTTATGTACTGAAGGCTTTATTTCTATGGAGTAGATTCTCAGGAGTGGCATTGTTGATCCAAAGAATATGTATATTTTTAATTTGAATAGGTATTTCCAGATTACTCTCCAAAAATTCAGTGGGGTTCTGACTCTTCACATTTTCTACCAGCAAAATTCGAGTTGTACTTTTTTTGCCCAGATTCTGCCTAGCAACAGTTATCTCCTCTTAAATTGGACCAGTATGATGAGTGTGACATTTCACTGTTAATTTGAATTTTCTCAAGATTAAGTGAATTTCAGCACCTTTTCATTTTGTTAGATTTGCTTTTGTATACATTGCTTTTTTTACATTTTTCTTACCATTTTCATTTATCAGAGCTCTTTTTTTTTTTTTTTTTTTGTGCTTCGGGTCCACAGATACGGAATAAGAATAATCACAATCTTTGGTTCATGAGTGACTATCATGATTAGCATGATCCTCTTTATGTAATTGTTTAGATCTTAAATTAGTGACATGAAAACCAGGAACACCCACCCCCACCCAACTTAAGAACTAGAACCCTACAAATACATTTCATTTACCTATGCATTCCTTCTCTTTCTGTCTATTTATGCCCAGAATTCTATGTTTATTATTTTTTTATTAATACAGAGTTTAGTTGTTGACTATTTTTGAACTTGATCACCCCACACATAGCTTCCGAAGACCTGCTTTTTTTTTCTTTCAACATTCTACAACTAGTATTTATTCACGTTATTGCCCATAACTGAACTCATTCATTTTCATTGCCATTTAAAATTCTGTCATGTGAATAAACAACATTGTCCTATTCTCCTGTGAAGGGGCATCTGAGTTCTTTCTGTATGAGAGGGATGAATTTTATGAGCAGTTCCATTATTAGCATTTTTGAAAATGTCTCTTGAAGCATGAGTGCAAGAATTTCTTTTGGGTATATACTTAGGAATGGAATTGCTGGGTTGCAGAGCACGTGTAAGATAATAAAGAACCATTTCTTAAAATGGTTGCTCCAATTTACATCCTCATCATTTTATCTCTTTGAACACTAGAGATTAGTTGTTTAGCTTCAACTGTGTTGTAAATTTTTTTCCTAACTATTTGTTAAGTTTGTTAGTGACACTTTTGTGATATGAAAGTTTTTACTTTCACATTTTTAATTATGACTTTTATTTGTAGATTCTGGTTTTCAGTCTTTAATACGTAGATTTCCCTTGATTCTGGTTCTTGGTACAGCTTTAGGATACTCCTGCGACCCAATCCAATATTTGTTTGTTTGTTTTACATTTAAATCTTGTATGCCAATTGGAATTTGTTTTTTGGTATATGAAGATCTCACTTTCATTTTCTTTCGGGAGGATAGCTTATTATATTCTATTATTCCACATAAATGTTAAAATATATTTAAATAAAAAATTGGACTCTGGAGTCCAATGAAAAAGCTAAAGAACTAGATATTTTTAAAAGTCATTCAACAAAATTTGAGTGGTTCTTGATACAGTTCCTGCATCATTCTTGTTAAACTTATTCCTAAGTATTTTATAGTCTTTACTAAAGTTGTAAATTTATAATGTTGTACATTTCTTTTTCTTGTCTTACTATTTACACTATTATATTCATGACAATGTTAAATAATAATGGTGATAGTGAGCATATCTGTCCAGTTCCTGATTTTAATTGAATTAGAAGTATTTAATAATTTATAATAATTACTCTTAGTTATTTGGGAAGTAAACATTTTTTTTTTATTAGAATTAAGTGGTTCTTTTCTAAACTTATTTTACTTAGTGTTTCCATTAGGAATGGCTGTTGACTTTTTAAATGTATGATATGATCATTTATTTTCTTCTTTATCATGTTGATGAAATGAATTTTGTCCTGATCCTGAACAAATGTTACACTCCTGGAAGACACTGTCCCTTTTCAATTTGTTTTTTTAATACATCGCTGGACTCCTTTTGCTAATATTTTATGTAGAATTTTTGCACTTATATATACATATAAGTATATTGTTCTACAGTTTCTTCCTTTCCTCCCTCCCTCTCTTCTTTTCTTTCTCTTTCCTTACTTTTGATGTTAAAGTAGTGTTGGATTCAGAAAATGAATTGGGTAACTTTCTAACTTCTTTATGATTGGGTGAGGCTATATTATTAGGTGCATAATTTATCTTCTTTGTACATTTTCCCTTTATCATGAAATACTTTGCATCTTTATGCCTAGGAATGTCTTTGGGGCTTCACATATCTTTTATGTAATATTCGTATCATCAGCCCAGTTTCCTTTTGATGTGTTAACCTGCTTGCATCCTTTTCTTTACAAATTTTTTGTTACTCTTTGTTTTAATGATGTAACATTTATGAAAATCAGATTTCTGCAGTTTTCTCATTTATTGGGTAGATTTAATCCAATCACATTTTGATTACTGATATAATTTCAATGATTTCTTAAAATCTTAATTTTGTGTTCCTATATTTTGTTTTAATTTCTCTTTATTTCATTTTTATTTTTGTTGCCTCTTATTGCATTGTTAGCATTAAAAATTTTTTCCAGAACTCTATTTTTTAGAAGTTACATATTTATTTCTATCACTTTAATGGAACGCCTTAAAGTTTTACATGAATATTTAATGTAGGCTACAGTTAATCAGTATCCCTATCCTGAATATTTATAAGGAACTTAGACAATCTCAAACTGAAATACCCCTCCATCTTCCATTCTTTTGTTGGCTAAAGGTTTAATTTCACTACATTAGTGAAATTATTTTAATAATGATTAAAATGTTTCAATTGTAAATTCTCCTTTAGATCTATTAGAATATTATATAGTTTATGTGCTCACCATCATTTACTGCATCAGTTCAGTTTTTCAAGCTGAGAGCTCATGTGTTCAGTGGTGAAAGATTCTTCGTAATTATTTTCTTTCAATATTATCTCCAATTCATTTTCTTCTGCTTTTGGAATTATTATATGTGTGATAAGTTGTCTCATTCTATCCTCTACTTGTCTTTACTTCTCTTTGGATAGTCCCTTTCTTTCCACTTTTATGTGCTGCATTCTGCATGACTCCCATCCCAAATCGCTAATTCTACCATTTTCTCAACTTTAGCTAGTCTTCTGTTTAACTTGTTATGGAATTTTTATTCTAGATGTCTATTTTTGTTTCATTTCAAGACATTTTAATAGGATGTTTTTCAATTTCTAAATGTTGCATAATTATGAAAAATCCATGTTTTTGTTTGTTTGTTTCTATTCCTTCTTTTATCTCTTTGATTAAGTGTGGTGGATTTAATTATCTTTCAGATAGTTTGATCTTTAGTTTTGAATAATAAAAACTTTCTCCATTTTTATGTGTGTGTCTATTCCAGGCACTTTGTTGTTGTTGTTGTTGTTGTGGTTTATTTATGCCTTTTATTTTAAGGTTATTTGCAGCGGATTTGTTTTCTAGGAGAATCTTGTACACTCTTGGTTATGGAAACGGTTTTCGCAATCACCTCTGCCTGGGCCCTATGTGTTTCACTGCTTGCCTTTTTGTATTTATTACCTGGCACTAGGTTCTCCAACCTCTTGGGCTGTTAATCTTGGATTCCCACCTTAAACTTCATGTCAGTAACTCCTTGTGCATTTACAGCCCCCAAATGATGTATCATTTCTTTTTAATCATTCCAAGCCAGTGAATGGAGCTTTGTTCCCATTTTACAGAACTTCTGTAAATTCTAGTGTCATGTAGGGAGATTAATTTCAGCTCTGCCCTCTTCGCAGGTCGGAGGCTTCACTTTCTATCTGCATACACATATTACAACATCACCCCTTGTTTACTAGGGACTATATTCTGCCTAATACTCAGTTCAGAATTCAATCTTATAACTTTGGCTTTCAGTTCTTTAATTATTTCTGACAAATAGAAAATTCCTTTACTTCCTTATAAATTCTATGCACACATGCATCTATATTAATGTAAAAGTCTGTACTAGCATTATACATACGCATATTTTCTAAAGGCATTTCTGTATGTTTTGAGTGAGATGGAGGTCATTCTGCATTATTTGGGTCTGTAATATGTATTCTATTTCTGGAAGTTTCTCTCTATTTTCTATATTAAAATTCCTTAACCATAAATAATGCTCTTTCTTGCTTTTTTTTGCACTGTTATACTTATAGCCTTAATAAGAAATTCTATGTTAGTTGGATTTGGACTAAGAGTACATATAGCCACATGGGCTCATTCAATCATCTTGATCCAATATA